TTTTCACTTCCATTCTGTTGTCAGTTACTAGGAAAAGGTGTGGCAAAAGACTTATGAAATTTCCCATTTTGAGTAGAGAGAAGAATCTGTAACAATCATATTGTTGAAATCAAAAAGTTGGGAAAATGATCAAGAAATGTTGCTTAGCTTTTCGTCTTCACTAATTTCCGGAATTAAAGATCCGAATTTTGGATCGAACAGTCAGTTTTTTGATTAGATTACTCAAATACCTGGTTGGTTTACCAAGTAATATAGTTTCTTCAAAATTAGCTAATGGTTTGTTTGCAACAGCTTCAGACGCAATTCAGACACAGACACTTATGTAATACTGTACTTACTTCGTGTATGGAATCTAAGAATTATTGAAAGTTTTTCTGAAACAGTCCGATTCATTTATTTTGATAATTCATGGATTACTATAGAAAAAGAGGAATCAGAATGAGATAGATTTGACTTGGTAAAAGTTATTCACTAAAAACCTTTAAAAAAAGAGAAATTTCAATATAATATTTCTGCGAAGGTATAAATTTAAGTGGATAGTAAATCAGTGCTAAAGTTTCGTGATAAAAAAAAAAAGAAGGTAAAGATAATTATTATTGATAACAAACTCACCACAGGTAATTGATTATTCTTTGATATTTGGGTTAGATATTTTGAGGTTTGATTTTAGTTTAATTTTCTTTATTAGATTAGGCATATTTTATCCTATTTCTATTGTTTCTTGTGTTTTATTTATATTTTTTTTTATAGGTGAAAATACTAGTTTTAGAAGATGTTAGAGATTAGAGGTCAATATTTTTTCTGTGATTACCGGAGGTTTGGTCAGGATTTTCGTTTGTTTTTATTTAATAAATTAGCTTTGCCTTTTTTTTTTCTATTTTTTGAACTTTTTAAAACTCTTCTCTATGTTGATTGGATAGTGTTTGATTGCTCTTAGATAATTTATCACCTGATTATCTTGATATTAGTGGTATAGCTGGTTTATTTTTAATAACTGAACTATAGAACATTAATGACCGCTTGCCGATCTTAACTTTTTCATCTCCTAGTGTTTTTATTTTCGCGTAATTAACTTCTGGATAGGTCAAGTTTCGAACGTTCATATTAATTGCAGCCATAGATACGATCCATCCTTGGAGCATGCTAATTTTTCACTTTCAAAAATTATACGACTAAAATAACTCACGCATACTGTAAGCTTTAGGTTTTAAGCGGTTTGTCTGACTACTTCTCTGTTGCATAATATTTGGTTTAGTCCTGATTCACTTGTCCACCGAGCAAATAATTCATTAATCAGTTTAACAGTATTTCAAAGAATTCTATGGATTGTAAAACTCTTATTGTTTGACTTAAATAGAAATGCTGGTCGGAAAAAAAAACCGTCCAAATAATATTTGCAAAATTATCGTTTTCCAAATAAAATGAGAAGAAACATGCAGAAAATGCTATTTTTCCGGAACAACTCTGAAAGCATGCAAAAATTATTATAAAACATTCTGGAATTCATACGAGTAGGTCATAAATATTGGAGAAGTCTTTTATTTCAACTTTGTATTCCAAAAAATCAAATAATGAAATCCAAACATGACCCAAATATTTTGTCGATTTCGATAAACACTTTTGGAATAGATCTTTTTCCACCAAATAAATACTTCTGTGTAATTCATTTATGCAACGGTTCTTCTTCCCATTGTTTTTCAAAGAGCATTCCTGAATTGTTAAAGCAGTATCAGGTCCACAATAATATACACAGTATCAGGTCCACAGTAATATACACAGTATCAGGTCTCCCTTCTTATTTTTTTGTCCTACTCATTTGCATAATCTGCTAACATATACCAACTAATAGTTCCTCAAATCTCCATTTTTATTTATTCTTATAAACTGCATGTTGAGAATTTTTTTTTTTGATGATTTGCACTATGAATACATATGTAAGTCGTAAGTAATTTTCGTCAAATATTCATTCCATATTCTCGAAATTTCTCATTTTAAAACTCATTTATCACTGTGTACTTGGTCTGATTGTTAGTGCAATCTATTTGCAGTTTTGCAGATTAAAATCTATCACAGAAATGTATTCATTTACTTGTTAATGAGTTTTTAGTCTTAGACAATTTACTTCACTGTTATTTTAGCTGGAAAAATTAGTTTTGTAGTTTAAAAATTTCCTCAAATTTGCATAAAAAGTTGATTTATATTATATCTCATATAATTTCACCGATCTGTCACAGAAGTAGAATTTTTTTTATCACTTTGTCTACTTGTAATTTTCGTTCATCACTGATATTTGTTGTCCTTCTTATTTGACACCTTTTTTGATATATTATTTATCATCATTTACTCACTCATTTGTTCATTATCATTTCAATTTAATCAAACTTTCTTGGAAATCCTATCGAATTTTACTACTACTATTTATGAAAGTGATCCTCGAAGTTCAGTTTTAAAGAAAGGGATAAAGCTATAATTTTCATCAATCACTAATAAAAAGGTTTTGGTAGTGCTTTTTTTTTACAACTTTTAAGGCTAGAAGTGGAATAAAATGTGAAATTTCAATGTTCACATATACTGCTTTTATTCATGAATTAACTTTCTTTTTTTTTTTGCAGGCAAATTGACGATGACTCTGATAGGAATGTTTGCGCTTCTGTCTCATTTTTGAGTAATTTGTGTTTTCCATCCGAGTTGGTTCCTTCGTATGTTCGATGCAATTTTCGAAGATTTTCTTAGCAACGCAAAAATAGCCTTCTTTAGATTTTATGCTTGAAATTGTTTCAAATCATTTTTGTTTCTTCTCATTGCTTGCCTTCTTTGTCTTCTTCCGTTTGTTCTTTTTACTTTCACAAGTTTAGCCACAATTTAACAGGTTTAGTCTGACGCAGCTTACTATCGACATCTACACCCACAACAATTTGTTTCACACAGCTGTTTCTTCGTCACAAAGGACACTTTTTTTAAAAAATTTTCTGGTGAAAGAAAGTTTGCAAACTTTCGATTACTTCAGCTGGATATTTGTGAAAGTTACATCATAAAGTGCTACTGTAAGTTAAGTTTTAAGCTAAGATTTCAGAATTCATTTCATTTCATCCGCCTTCCTTCCTCTTCTTCTTTGCATTTCCTTTACAGCTTTCCACGTTTTTGCTCTTCTCAATTTCATGGATTGATTTTTGATTTGTTTCATTTTATTCGTTACATTTACATTCATTCCTCCATCATACTTCTATTTATTTTAAAATGTGCCTGGAATGACCCATACATCGAAATGTATGAATGGACTAAATTAGGATAACTAGTAACTACCCATGGACTCTGTTGTTGTCATCCAAATGCATGGAAATTTCGATGAACTTCTTAAAATTAAACCCTTAAATTGTGATCTAATACACAGAAAGAATACATTAATGTTTGTAAATACCCACTATCGATTAATTTCTTCATTTTCAAATGATTTTTCGTCGAGATTAGCTGAATCATCTCTGTGGAAGCGTAATGTGTCATATAAAAAAAATGGAAATAATATCTTCTTCAATTTCAGACGATTTCTAAAGTTACTGGTGAAACTCATAAAATATGCCAATTTTCTGGATATGAGTGGAAATAGCTGTAAGGCACACCATTATCGCACTATCTGACCAATGGTACAAATAGATTCTGACACGAAGTCCTTCACTTCTTTCATGTAATATGAACAGTGAGATCATTATATCAGCATAAGCAATTGTGTTTTTTTTTGCTTATATCATACCCAAACTTATCACATATGCGCTTTAAAATGATATTTTATAAATTTGAAGAATCCTTCACTTTATAGATTTGAACATTTTGTAAATTTGAGTAAACACCGAACTGAAAAGTTTAAAAAAGCTTATCAAACTATCGTTGGCGTTAATATCATCATTTAATTGGTCATTTGGAAGGTTATTCTTCTAACACTAATTTTCAAAAAAAAAAAATCTCTTGTAATGTTTGTCGTTGTTTTCTTTTTTACGTAACTGTGATACGCGTATGATTTCTCGTAAAAAACAACTTGCATTTTTCATCCTGCATCATCACGGAATTACACCAAAGCTCTTGAAAACAACTAAAAAGTTTCTTTTTTTGGATCTCAACGTCAGTGTTCATAGATAATTAAAATTTAAATGTAAACTCAATCCTATTCATGGAGCACTGTCTGGAAAGTCCGGCATGTCTCCTTAAAATTTGTGCAGGTCAGGGGGTCAATGGAAGCAACGAATACGAGCGCAGTCTTCTTATTGTGTCGTTTCTTATAAAAGAAGTTTGTTGAAGTAATTGACATCAGAAGTTTCACTTCAGCATATAATTTCAATCTAAAACAACAAAAAAAGGTAGTATGTTTTATGTGTTAAGTATTTTTTTAGAATAGAGCATAATTCAGATTAAATGTTTGTTAACTAAACTGAAATAAATGATAAGATAAAATGCAATATCAAGCGGTTGTAAAACAAAACGACTTTAAAGCTTAAAATATTCTTTTTTGGCCAAAATTTCATTTCTTTAAAAGTGCTGTCACATTTAGCCATTCAACAAATAATTAATTGAAATAACCTAAGCTAATTGCAAGCTAAGTACTTCATTAAATCATACTTATCTTTATCAGTTACTTCTTATTCACCAATTGATATTTAGCCTTTGACATCATAGTTTGCTTTGTCAATGTTTGAAAGTTAAGCAATTTTGTATTTACAAGATACGTGAAACGATTGTTTATGAATAAAACTTGCTGCAACCTTTAAAATTTGAATTAAGAATAGATTTTCGAATATCTGTTGTTGCATATATGATTCATAATGCTAAATGTATTTAATTTGTATAAGACAAATATAATTAAAATTTAAAATATATTATGCGCTTAGAAGCGAACATCAATCGATTTTTTTTATCGGATTTCCAATGAAAGATTGTTGCACATGAATGAAAATTTTGAAGATTCAGTTAATTATCAATAAATTTCTATTATTGCAGGAGATGTGGGAATCATGAGAACAGAGATTGTGTTTATTCTTATTATTATTATTGAAGGAATTTTTTGCAATGACACTAGACAGAGACTTATCACATTGTTGAGAACTGATCAAAAATTTCATGATCAATGGATACATCTTGTTGAATTACAGGTATGGACTGCAAATTTTAGACCATCATAGTGATGACATCTCAGTAATGATTACTTATCAAGTTGATACAGATGATGATTGCAATAAAAACAATGAATAATCATGATAATAACAATCATGGTAATAACAATCATTATGATAAAGGAGATAGAGTTGGAACGAAGTTCTAACAGATGTTATAAATTTTTGCCTAAAATCAGAAATTTTAATTAAAAAATCATAAACTTATGTTTGACAATGTCATTATTTCGATCCTTCCCTTACATACAACATTCAATTTCAGCATCGACAAGTACATGAACAAAATATGGGTGGTGCATTAGAAGAAGTCACAGATTTGTTATTGAATTGTGCGCCGAAGTTAGATTCTAAATTGGATCACATAGATTATGTATGCCCAGGCGACATAGAACTTTACGCCGAACTAGGACAACTGACACGATATTGTAATGACAGTATCATGGAATTGATTAAAGGTAATTTTAATAGTGGCTTCAATTCACTTCAATTTAAAGGCGTTAATTAATGATCAATTAATAATTAATGGTATAGTTTTCATTAGAATCCGAAATTTTCAATCAAGTTGAATTGCTGTTCGTAAATCATAATTTTTCTTTTGGGCCTACCTTTTATCAGATAGTTCTTTGATTTGAATTTGACCGATTTCAGGTAGAGTAGACTCATGTCAACATGCCAGTTACACCAGTTCACTCCCATCAATTGTTAAATTTCTGATGAAATCTATTCAAAATCTAACAGTTATTGAAACATCAAAAGCGACGAAACTTGAAAATCAAACGCAGTATTTGGTGGGGCAATTCATGGAACATAAAAGCTGGCGAAATAAATGGAAACTGATTGTTATTATGCCCAATATAGAGGTTTCATTTCCCATAAAATTTCGGGGCAGTTAAAACTCGATTCAAACATTCAAATGATCTCCAAATCGTTCCACCTCCATTACATGGTTAAACATAACGATCGCAGTGCTGTAATGCAGCAATCACAAGTAATACCTAAAATCTTCATCTTTCTCTATAGGATGGCGAACTGCGGGAACCTGAGCAATCAGCAGTTGAAGTAATGAAGTCAATTAAGTTGCTTTACGAAGTGATACCGAAACGGACAATTTTGATTGTGGTACGAAGTTCCACACTGAAACTATGGCAGGACGCATCTAACACGCACCGAGCATGTCAAACATTGCTGGAACCGTGGAAACTTTATGAAAAACTGAATCCGGTTTCCATCTGGGACCAAGTCGGTTGATTACATTATTTGAAAAGAAGATAATGACGAATCCAACTATCATCGAGCTTCATCGAGAATAGTTTTAACTTCCACAGTAACAATTGTCTCATTGAAATAATATACTGTTTTACTTTGAATACCTTAAAAATCACTGATCGCTAAATTCTATCTTTCAGTATATTTATCTCACAGATTTCACGCTTACGGTGAAATCTCTACTTTCGGTATGAAAACTGTATAATGAACTTTCATTATATTACAGAAATTTATTTAAGGTTGAAAAAATTTGTGGGTTACATTTTCAAAGTTCATTATTTACCGTGCAAATTTTACCGCTCATGAAGGATGCCTCATTACCTTTCCTACCTGGCTCTAATCAGTAAGTTTCGTTACATTTTTAACTAATTATTTGTCCAACTTATTATTTATTTGAGCCGATCATTTTTCTTTCAATCTTGTACGAATCATTTATACTTCTAATGCAACTTGCGGTAAACTTTGTTGCAATGGTGACCCATAAAGGTCTATGTAAGTTAAACGACTAATGCGATTCATCCGATTGTATTTATTAAGAAAATGAGTTCCCGAAATAGCCCTCTACAGGATGGACTTATCCTTGCTTGGTCATGATTGTGTACATTTTTCACCGCGTGGTTTATCTCTTCTGCACATTGCAATATGGAATGCGATGTTAACGAGACTACCGGATCGATCGCAAGCCTTCAATTTCTCCTTGGAACGACCCCTTTGCGCTGATCCACAATGCCCATTCATCCGTACCGCTAAAAATAGTGCCTTATGTGTTTGGAATATTCAAAAAGTTAGCATTTTTACAGTTTACATAATAACACATTCTACATTAAATTTTTCTTGTGCTTACCGAAAAGGAATTCCGAGTTTGTAAGTTATAACTTTATACTTTTATTACTGTCACATTTAATAGTGACATTTAATGTTGTCGTATTCCATAGTATGTGGCAATATGAAGTCTAGCGGGTATCTTCCTCTTCCTTAGGTTTCTTTTTTGTTGAGGATATTGTTTTAGTTTGAAATAAGATGAGATAAATGAACGGTTAATACGAAAAAATCATCAAATGATGATAAGCAAAATGCGCAGATTTCGAATTAGTTGCAACACCATAAGAACCATTGACTGATCTCTTCAAGAGACTCATTACTCAATTAGTAAATGGTTTTGTCTATCACTTGGGATGTTTCGCTTTCCTATTTACCGTGAAATTTCCTAACCAAAAATATGCGTCAAATTTTCTAAAATCCAAATTTCCAGCATTATTTGGATTGATCCAAAGAATTTCATTTTAGGCAGATGGAAATGGTCGTCGTTCGGAACAATTGATTGCAATCGGTGTATTGATCATAGCAACAGTATTATTTGTTATAGTTCTTGGTACCATTTGCTGCTTTACAAGATACCATAATAAGGTTAATGAAGTGGCAGAAAATCTTCCCAAGAAGCCACCTGTAGGGGCCGATTGGATCTCATGGAAATACATAGATGAAGATAGCAGCGCATCCTATAAATTTTAAAATTCACAATGTTATCTTAAGGAAAAGACTAACTTTCCTGAAGTCGTGAAGTTTCGAGATACCCACGAGAATTGTTTCTCAATTATTGTCAACTCCATTTGCTTCCTTCACTTTTCATTGGTGTGATTTTATCAAGATTAAGAAGTAATGCTCTATTTCAAGGAGCATTTATTTGGCGGCACGAAAGTACTCAAATTCTTCATATTCATATGCAAGCGAGCTTTCACTTTTTCAGCTAGCCAGTATTACTTGTTTATATTTTTCTAATTTATAACAACCAAAGAAATATTTCTGGTCGCATAAATTGAGAATTGCTCAAATCAATAATTTCTCTTCCCATTAATCCTTATCATTCCATTTGAATCAGATTTTTACTTCATATCGTGTCTTTTCAATTAATTGTACAATAGAAATGAATTCCCTTGCATGCTTTCCAGTGTTTTTTTCCGAAATTTAATCCAGAAAAGCGACCACTTCGTACTGCCTTGTTATTATTGTAGTGTATAATTTTGTGAGAAATTCTGGACAATTCAAGATACCTTCACTACACAACTTCGTAACATCATTTTGAATACCGCCAATCGACATCAGTTAAGTCCCTTCGCATTAATTTGAATTGTATAAGAAATTCATTTTAAAATGAACTATTTGATCTTCTGAGGATTTATACTATCCAATCAGATTGGAATCATCGCACCGTGCTGATTTCTTCATTTACTTGTGGGATGCTTTTGGGATGTTCCGCGGGATTTAATATAAGGGCGAGTGAGTCAGTGAACATTAATTAAAGCGTCAATTCCTTCTATTGCTCTACAATAGCGCCATAATCAAAATCTCATCCATTCAATTAAAGTATCTAGTCGGTGGGGGCATAGCTCAGTGGCAGAGCATTCGACTGCAGATCGAGAGGTCCCCGGTTCAAATCCGGGTGCTCCCTTCTTTTTAATCAGTTGAGAATCATGACATTGTCTGAAGAAGTTTCCATTCAACAACCAACGGCTTTTGACAAATGAATACTCAACTTCGAGGAAATTATAGCAATCGGCATGATTGTGGTAGAATGGAAAACAAATATGGCGTAAATGAACCTGGATTGGAGCAAATCCTCATCCTTTTGGACCTAAATAAGATTCACTAACGTTCTTTCTAATCCTATTTCTTAGGAAATCAATAAAGGAAAGTGGATATAAAAAATCGAAAGAATAAACGACTGATAAAGAACGATACCCCACCAATATCCATTATGAGTCACTAAGTCAACGAATTCATAAAAATATCAATGACTTAATACAATGCATCCCAATCGGGACAACAAATGCTAATTATCATTGATACAGGATGAGCAGTATGCACCGTTTATAGTTCAAAACCATAATACTGATTCTGGAACTTCACAGCACATATGCAATTGTTTGGTAACTATCACTACCTACTGAGAATGATAAGCCTTAATGTAGGAAATTTGTATAGCCCATAACATATTCATATTTGTTAAAAAAACCTAGACCTTCACCATTTGGTTTCAAGTCATTAATTCGACGTCTTTTCTAGTATTTCTTCTCAATATCACAACCTACTGCTCTTTTTTCGAGAAATTCGACTCGCGACCTTAGGATTGACAAATGACATTTCAGTCGACGATTCGAACTGCTTTAGCGCAACTTGATGTGCTTCGCATACTTTGCGAGCTTCATTTAGCTTTTGTTTTCACGTGTCTTCACGTGCCTTCACGTCTAAAACGTGTTTAAAGTACTAAGATTTTTCGCATACAATAAAGAAAAAAACTTTGCCAGCAGGTATATTTGCACTTTGACAACAGGTTCAAGTATAAGTGATTGTTTTGGTGGGTGATGTTTTGTAAGCAATAAATGCATGTACTATCATCATCGCGTATTTGGTGTATTAATTTATTCAGTACATCAAATATAACAAAAAATCGGGTGATACATGTTGACAAAATCAAGCTTTTGCTCTTGGTACAGAACTTTCTATGACATCGCGCTCAACAAATGATAAATTGCTGATTGCTTTATTCTGCACTTTTGTATATGCGTTTTGCAACCACACCTTCACAATCACAAACCTGAAAAGAATTTTCATTAAAATGATCTTTCTACTAAATTTGCTCCCCGCATTTTATTTCACCATGTCAACTGATGCAAGGCTTATTCTTGTAGATGTATTTTAGCCATATACTAACATACCGAATTATTCATTTAGTTCGCTCATTAACTGCTACTTTCTTTAGTTCAAATTTCACCGCTAGAGAACAGAAAATATAATGGTAACAACAGGAACAGCAACAATTATCTTAGCGTCACTTTTTCTCACCTTCGATCATTTCTCTGAAACACCGAAATTCTAAAAATATCTTTTCTACTTCAGTTAACTAAAATATCGCATAACACGACCACTGAAACGTCAAAATTTCATGTCATAAATCGATTAACTGCAAAACTAGCTAATTGCAAAAGATTTTCACGCTAAAATATTTGTACTGCAGTCACCACAGTTAGACTTACAATAATTAGTTGGCCTTGCTTATCGATGTAACGTTCAAACCTAGTACTTTTCCCGTCTGCCTTAATCGCGTTTTCGAGTTGAACCAATATGTCACCTTCCAAAAAGAATTTACTCTGCAACACCACTGCCTTCAGCAAAAAAAAGCAAAATTGAATTTGTGTAAAAATTAATAAAACATTGGCCCTTTTCTGACTCGCTAATCTACAGTGAATTCATTTGTTAAGTATCCTAATTACAGGATCTTTCTCTAAAGCCTCTTGACCGATTCCTCAAGCTCTCAGTTATTAATAACAAAATTTACTGGGCCCCATTTCATACTTCTATTAGCATAATGTAAAACTTTAGAAGATGAAATGTTTTCTAGGAGCCATAGTTAGCTAAATGCAATCACGAAAACGGGTGTTTGGGTATTAAGAGTCCGCATATGTTACGTGACTTGAATCCTTCTTAAGATTCTGATACTATTTTCAAGATATCAGCTTTTCTTCGGCAGCCAAGTATAATAACAGATGACGAATATTCGCAGCATTCTATGGTCTTTACAGTGGAATAAACAATTACTCAGAAATAATCAAACAAACACTGAGTAAACAACTGAACAAAAACAAAATGAGCAACCACCTTTACTTGCCTCCCATCAGGTGTTGTTTCAACGAATTCTTCACCTAGTTCAAATTCCCAAACATGCTTTCTGAAACTTGATTCGCTAACAATCTTCCATTTGTTACCATCCACGGAAAAAGTCAGTGTTGGTTTAAGATTTCGAGCTATACTTCGCATTATCAACCCAACACCTATAAAAAAGGAAATTGATGATTATCGGTATGGACAAACAATCTACAACAGATAAATTTAACTTGAAATATTCTCCTCGCGAATTTAAAACTATTTTAATGATTCAGCAATACTTAACACTAAATATAGAAAAATCCAGGAAACATTTGAATTTCTTTTAACAAACGGGTCAGATTATTTTAGGAACTCCCATACCTTCGTCTGAAACCAATTCTAGTGGTAAAAGAAGGCCTTGAAAATTCGAGTTTTATGGAAAAAAAGAATTCTAAAAACTAGGCTAATTAAACTAAATTAAAAGAATGTTGAATTGCAGCGCAAAAACTGCTTTGATCTAATCAAACAATGATAACATGCTGAACTTTCATGACTATACCTACCGATTTGTTTCAGGTATGCATCGAAATTTTCCGACTCGACAAACGTCCAAATACCAACAAATTTCTCGGCAACGGCCATTTGTAGCAAAGCGATTTATCACTTTTATCAGTAGTCGTCAAAATCTCAGTCTGTAATACCAACTGAGCATGTAGTAAAGAAGCAACACAAGGCCGAAAAACGTTCGTTGAAAGATTTTCAAATTTGATTTTTACGATAGATAAGGATTACTAATATAAGCAACCTTGAAAGCAGGTTTGCTACTTTAAAAACGGAAATTAGTGAGAAACAATAAACAAATAATCGAGTAAACTTAGCAGCGATCATTCTCAAAATAAAGCGTGTGTAATGCTTACAGATGTTATTATCGATTGATTTTCAGTTACTGATTATTATTACTGGAGAGTCGGTTGAGCAGTTCGATGCGCTCCGAGATTTTGTCGTAACGATAATACAATTTATAGCAAACATCTGCTGACAATATCAAAATGATATGAAAATTATGACGAATGAATAATCTGGCCATTCGGTCAAGTACTATAAGAATTCAATTTAATGTTGACATTTCATGACGAAATAATGCTAGCATAGTATCACCATATACAATTAAGGTGAAAAAAAATGAGACAGTAATCAGTAAAAGAAGATAATATATTAAAGTGAAATTTTACTGACTGGGGAAACAGTGATATGAGAATTCAATTTAATGTCGGAGAAGTATTAATCAAGCGACAGTGTCACAGCAACATCGAAAACACTCAGGTTGACCGCAGCTAGAAAATGATATACATGGAGAGAAGGAAGGATAACGAGGAAAAAGATGTATGAGTAATTTGGACACAGCGATGATATTTAAAAATCGATAGAGAAAATGGCAGGACGAGTCATAAGCCGAATGAAGGACCAAAAACTGAGTGAATGTTAGGTTCGTCTGTGGCTTGCAGTTTCGCAAATTGGAAGGATGACAGGGTAAGACATGCTGATGACCGTTTATTATGGTCGAGTCGTTGTATCGCTGCACTATGTCGTATAGCAGTTGTAGATTCAAAAGGGAGAGATGATACGACAAGCAAACAGCAAATACACTAAGATAAGGTGCTAGGCATCAATGACAGATAAACAGGCAGACATTGTAACAGTAAGCATTTCCCACACTTCCTTTCAGGTCGATGGTAGAGAACTGGTTATTAGTTTTGCCCTTGATTTTTTGGGTCAGTACAGATATCTTTCCTAGTGATCGATATTTTATGAAGATTACGAAAAACACTTATTAAATATTAAAGTCGCGCTCTTTGAAATAATTCCTGCTCATTAATAGTAAAGTGGAAAATTGTTGTATTCTTGGGAGTATTTTGCGCAACGTGACATAGAGTTGCAAATTTCTCATGATTTCCATCTCACCTTGGGTAATTAAACTAAACAATATTAACGTCACAAAGTCATTAGGAATGACAAAATACAAGTTAACGCATAAAGTTAAACTCCAAAATGTCGTCACGATAAATCCCAAAGACAGCAATCTGAAGGATAACAGAAAAGAATGCTGTCCTGCTATGTGAAAGATACCCTTCGTCGATGTGATTCAATGATTGCATGAATTGACGCTTTTGTTAGCATACATTGATGAAGTAATGCATAGATTAGTATAAAGCTCTTTACTAGTTAAACATACAGCATGTATATAAATTCTATCAAAAGTGATAGCATCCTTATGCATACATGGAAAAGAATTTGGATCATTTTCAAATCTTAGTCAGGCATACTAATACATCACATTCACTTATGATTCTTTATATACTTTTTCATGTTACAAATATCTTCAGTGATTGCTTTAGAGATTGTCAATTTTTACTTTTACTATTCCAATGCTTCGACGAATGGTTTTCAATGACAGTTTTCCTTTAACACATTTCCCTTTTCCCCAATATTCTACACTGCATCCAAAAGGCCATGATATGAACACAATTGCGGTCTGCATTATTTTACCTCTACTATATCCATTCCAAATGAAGACATAAGAGTTAGACTAATACAAAACTAGGAAGTATAACGGTTAACTCAATTATAGAGAAGAGAACGTTCAATTATCAGTTGAATTTCCTACCAGCAGTCGACATAACTTTTGACTCAAAAAAGATTTAAATCGATGGATGTGACATCTCACACACTGCACTAACGGAACCTATAAACTAGTGTCCAATGATGTAGCCGTTTGCAAATGAAGATATTATATTACTTTTACTAAATGCTATATCATTACTGATTGCCAAACCACTATACTCATCATTGAGTAAATTGAACTTACGGAAACACAATTAACCTCACCAAATATACCCGTGAGCCTGCAATGATGGTAGGAACTTAATACTAAGGTTAAACACCATTCAAAACATTGTTCAATCGAACATCGATGATCCCTAGTAATTATAAAGCACGAGGGACTTTTGAAGGTACTACGAAGTTATGAATCTTAAGAATAAAAAAAGTAATCTTGACTCCCACCTCCCCACTAATTATTGATTTGTATCTGGCGGCTACATGCAGACACTACAGATTACTTATTGTCTTTCTTTTGACCTTTATGCTTCCTAGCACAGCAGCAACTGCTTAGTAATTATTCTATATAAAATTTCAATTACTGTAAAAAAATGGTCGAAGCTTTTATCCAGTTCACATACTCCTCCCAATTAAAATAAAACCTATCCATTCTGATAAAAAAAACACAAACCTAAAGCAAAAAATATCTTCGTTATAATTTCCATCAGTTGTCTTTTCACTTCAAATATCTTCCTGCTTACTAGACATCAACCAGGATAAATTTTCTAGCTCTTGTAAGACAAACTGAAAAAAGCGTCTTAACAATCCCGACAACGAACCACATGGTAATCTGTGATGTCAGTAACAGGAATGATTAGAAATGCAGGCATCTCTCTGACATGATTTATTGAAAAATTACTATGCTCACTACAAAAAGACTGGAAAAGATGAAAAACTGGTAAAAAATTTCACAAACACAAAAATGTATGACATGTACAAGTCAGAACAATAATTTTATATCAATCAACAACTGCTTTTAGGTTCAAGTTCAAGTTAAGAGAAATGAATTTAAAACAAAGCGGCAAATTGCGGTATGAATGTTGCAGAACACACATGCGAAAGAGATTCTAAGATCAGATTTTCAAATAATACTGAAAAGATACACATCAAGTACCAAAGCATTTTACAGTAAACATCGTGAGGGTAAATAATTATAATACAATTGTTTCAATGCGATAAAACTTTAATCCGAACCAAACCATAAGGGGAGGGAAGTAATGAGAAGCTTGCTTTTCAAAATCTGCAGTCTATTTCTAGTTATTCGAGTTTTATCCTTGATCTGCAAACCCAAAGAACTCCTAGGTATTGAATTTCCATACCATTATGAAGGACAAATACTTATAACAAATGGAAATTTAATTACTTGAGAGTTTTTCGGTTTATAGAAAAAAATAAAATTAAAAGAAAAACGACTTATTCTTTAATGTTCAGAATGCTATCCAGGAAATATTCACATCATAGATGACTTGGCTCATTTATTGTAAAAAAAAACCTAATTCTCAGCGTTTGATCAATTCAAGTTCAGTTTGTCCACCAAAAAATTATGAAAATCGATGTGAAAATCAAAGGAAACGTCACCAAATTGAAGAAATATGCAAAAGGAAGGATAATGGGGAATCCACAAAATACAACAAGTCGAAACCATAAGAAACTAATAAACAAAAGTATTCTCAACAAAAGCATTCTCCATTAACGGACGTTAAAAGGAGAGCTCGGGTTAGATTGCAACCCGGATAATTATGGAACATTTAAGCCACTTTGCTTTAAACTGGGCCTTACCTACAAAGTTGAGAAATGATTAAAAATAATTAAGTCGGTATTTCTTTTATGACAAAAACGTAAGCTTTACGTAAGCTTGATTTCAATTTGAATTTCACTGCTTGATTTTTTTTTTCTTTTCCTCAATGAATAGTTAGCGTATGCAATCTTTTAAACAGCAGTGGAAATTGAAAAATACAAAACAGAAGCAATATCCGTTTATAAGTACCCGGTCGTCAGAGAAATTACCCGTGGCATCCGATATTTGGTACCACTGGTGTGAACATTATGTGGTCTCAGATTCTGTGGGTGTAGCTGAATCATATACCGTATCATTGTCGCGAGTTTCGGATTGCAATGTACACTGTCTATCCAATGATCCAGCACCACAGTCACAAAAGAAACTAAAAAACGGAACTAAATGAACAATAACTCAAAGAAACTGGAAAAAATGTTATAACCCAATATGTCGTAATAACAGAAATCCAGTAATCTCTAGAAGTTTCAATCAGTACTACTGAAAGTTTTTAAAGAATTATCTTCCATAATGCCTCGCTTGTCTTTCAATTTCATCGACTCACAACTATTAAAAAAGCGTCTGGATTGCTATTCTAAATTATGCAAATAGCTCAAATAACGAATAATAAAGTGATTTATGCTCTGGATGAGAATTAGCCTACGGTTTCAACACATAAGCAAGTAAAGCAACAATATGAAGTTTCAATGGAGAGTGGCTTTCTGTGAAATAACTGCTACAAAAATTTATAGACAAAACACAAGAAATGTTAACCGATCATGGCGAACAAACTCCACATTATGCCCTTTGTGACATGACTTGATGCAGTTGACACAAATTGCATTACGGTCTGTTGTATTACAACTTATGCATCTGTAAATTTATGCAAATGCTTCAACAATCCTTACGCCATACAAGCTGCAGAGTAAAAAAAAGTCAAGGTCGTATAAAACGGGGAAAATAACACCAGTTATGACTTATAACAAATAAGCATGCTGTCAAAAAGCTTGACAAACTTCTAATTTTTTCATAAATTCGCCTATACTCGGATAAATAGTCCAAACGATTGCTTTTTGAACTAGCAGAAGCTGTGGGTATGAAAAAGTGAAATCTTTCCAGTATTTCATATACTATATAAAAATTCCCAATAACAGTTTGTTTCAAAAACGGTAGCAATCTCCCCAAAATTATTCAAAGCATGAAAAAAAAAAGACCGGTAGAAGTCATGCATTGGAAATGAAGTGCAGGAACTTATTTTGAACAGGCAATATCCCTTAGCAATCGTCCGATCAACAGCATTATGATTATCGTATATGAGGTTATCACGCATTACTGGACGAACATCACTTGCCAAGCACAAGCCTAAAATAAAAATATAATGACTGATATGTTGTTAGGATAATTGGTTACAGTAAATGGGTGACTGAGATGATGACGACACTTAGAAATGAAGAGTTGTTGACATAGTAACCAGTTATTATGGAAATAAACCTCCGAATTCATTTTGAAACAGATGATTTCCTTCCAGTGTTGCCGTAGCACCATTTGTGATTTCGATGCCCGCAGCACGTCCTTTGTAAATCCGATTTCGTCGAAGAATAGGATTCGAATCGGTTGATATCAAAACACCAGCCTGGGCATTACGGTAGATTTCGTTATCTTCTAGTAAACCGCGGCCCTAAAATGAAAAGCTAGTTTTTCCCTTGGATAAGTTACTAGTTTTTTATTACCATTAAATTAGTTAATCAATTACCAGATGTAACAGCAGCTGAATGAAAGCAATTAAAAGCC